AGAGAGAGAGAGAGAGAGAGAGAGAGAGAGAGAGAGAGAGAGAGAGAGAGAGAGAGCACTGACAGTGCTGCCAGTCTGAAGACTCTGACGTTCTGAATTGAACGCAAAGTTCGAACTTTTAAGTTAGGGCCTAGTTGCACTACCGCCATAGGCCAAGTTTGGCGAGTAGGCGCCTGGTTGCACTTACTCACCAAACTTGGGGAATGCAAAATGTGTCAGATGGCTTGCCACACAGTCGACACAACTTGTGGAGAGTGAATTCAGTTTCCCCGCCTGTGCACGGCGGTTTGTGGAGGGTGGTCTTCGGACCTCGCCACAAAACAGCTTTCTGGAGAGTGCAGGGCTTCACGAGTCGACATGGGGGATAATTTTTTTTAACGTTTCTGTAGAAGAAATCTTGTGGCGAGTACGTGCAACCAGGCCTCGAGTTCGACCCGATTCTCATATTTTTCACTCTCCACGGATCCGCCACGAAATGTGACGGATGGTGAGTAGTGCAACTAGGCCCTTATATATGAAGTTATGAACTTAAATCACTAAATCCAAAGTTCAATGTTCAAAGTTAATCATACTCTTTTGAAGTTTTTTCAAAAACAAATTCTCTGTTTCTTTAGTCTTGTGCCTGCTTTGCACTGTTTGCAACTCTGCATGTCTACTAGTTAAATGTGCTGGTTGATTTGCTGCATGACAGGTGCTCCGCTGCCTGAACTACAGAGTGCAAAGCAGGTAAGTGCCTGCCAACACCCCCACCCAACCCCTCCCCCAACCCCCGGTTTCTTTGTTTTTTTTTTTTGGGTCCGGACATTTTTGCACCCAGGGGACCGGTCCGGACTGTCCGGTGTCCGGTGATGTCCGGATCACCAGACAGTCCGGACCGGTCCAGACACTGGTCCGGAAGACAGTCCGGAAGTGTCCGGTGTCCGGGTCCGGGGTTACCATGCCCTAAACCCAGAGTCCTAACACAAAACCCTAAACCCTAAGCCCTGAGTCCCGAAAAACAAAACCCTAAACCCTGACTGCTAAACACAAAACCCTAAACCCCCAACCCTGAGTTTAAGCACAAAACCCTAAACCCTACACCCTAAACCCTGAGTTCCGAAAAGCAAAAACCTAAACCCTGAGTCTAAGCACAAAACCCTAAACCCTAAACCCTAAACTACGGTACCAGGCTGGGTCCGCAGGTACCAGTTGAGCCAACAGGGAAACAGGTAGCCTATGGGCCCAGACTGGTACCTTGCGGACCCAAACAAGTATGCATAGGCACGTCCAGTGGCAGAAAATCCAGAATCCTAAACCCTGAGCAAGCAATTTAGGCACTCGATTGATGGACGGAAGGATGCATGAGATGCGCTGGAGAAGACGGTGAAGATTCATGCTGAACATGCAGCTTGGGGTAAGGCCACTGGTGGCTTTAGTCTGCGCTGGGCTAGGTACTACTTGCCCCAGAGTGGTACCCTGTGGGCCCAGTCGAAGCTTGGCAGGATCCAGAAGTATGTGCGGGCTGACGCCTCCGTCAATTTTGGATGGGTCAAACCGTTGACCGGGATAGTCTTGACTTCTCGCTCTGCGGTCTGCACCTAGAGCATTCACTTCCTCTCACCTCGTTCCATCGCCCCTGAGAGTTTTCAGAGATCGAAGTCCAAATGTGCCAACCATAGGCCGCCAGAAGCACTTTGAAATGATCCTTCACGTGCAGGCAGACCTGTAGAAGGCCTGCGCGTCAGGCCAGTGAAAGGCCCGTGACGCTTCTAGTTAGCTCACAAGGTACCAGTTGGGCCCAGATGCTGTGGGCCCAGACTCTTACCTTGTGGGACGAGACTGGGCCCGCAGCATAACAGTCTGGGCCCATAGAGGGTATCAGCGTGGGCATACAGACTGCTACCCTGTGGGCCAGCAGGGCACCAGTCTGGCCCAACTGGTGACTAGTAAAGCCAGACTGGGTCCACAGGGAAGCAGGACGGGCGACGGGCGACGGGCGGCGGGCGTACAGGGTACTGGTGGTCTGGGTCCATGGCATACCAGAGAATGCTACCCTATAAGCCCACGGACTGGTGCCCTGTAGGTCTGCCCACAGACTGGTGCCCTGTGGGCCACAGCTACCCAATTTGGGCCAACAGGGCAACAATCTGGGCCAGTGGTACGCAGCAAGCCCAGACTTGGGTACCAGTGTGAGCCCACAGGTTAGGACTTTGGGCCCACAGGGTACCAGGATGAGAGGCACGGTGAAGGAGGGTTTAAAAGAAGAAAGAGAAAAATGGATTGTTTCAGTGTGACCTTCATGTTTGTCTTGTTTTTTTTTTTTTTTTACCGTTTGTTTTGCAAAGTGCAATCTTTTCAGTCATAGATATGTGCCAGTATATATGTTTATAAGTTTATATACACGAATTACCGTCAGTGTTGGTCGTCCGCCATTCTTGAGCTGCATGTTGATCTGGAACTCCGAACTTGTGACCAGGCAGTAATCCCTACCCCCGACTCCTTGAAACCCCAAGGGCTCACCATAAGGACCAGTGAGATGCAAACCATCAACAGCACGTGTCACACGGCGAGCAAATGGGCACATCCATATTGCCTCGTCATCTTTTCGGTTGTTGACATGCTGCTCATCCTCCCCTTTCTCCTCTTTCTCCTCTTTCTCCTCTTTCTCCTCACTCTCCTCTTTCTCCTCTGCACCCTTGCTCTCCGTTACTTGTTTATTCAAGTTATTCTCCTCCTCCGCAACCTCCTTCTCCTTTTCTCTTTTGACCGCCAACTTCGGCATTTCACTTACTTCATCCACTGATGCAGGAAATTTCTCTTCGTCTTTGTCCTTCTCTACCCATTTTGCCTCATTCGCCCGCTGCTGCTCCTCCATCCCGTCTGGTTTCTCCTCCTTCTCCTCCTCCTTCTCCTCCTCCTCCTCCTTCGAGTTCATCAAGCTGCGTTTGTTAGTCCCTGGCAACCCATGAGCAGGATCCTTATAAGGGTTCCATTCTCCATCATGGGGTCTTGACCCAATCATGGCATGTTCATTAGTGGACTTGATAACGTGACCTCTGTCAAATTCAGCAAAGTCATCAACAGCTGTCGACAAGTCGTCATTCACACTCACAGTCTTCCCATTCGTGGCAGCAGCGTTATGCCACCCAGTCAATGCACTGATGACTGCTTCATTCCTAGGATGGTCGTCTTGCTGAGCAGCGAGGATCCATCTGTCGAGCCCCCCCCCTGGATCGTCTATCGCTGCTGGGAAGTCAGCCATCATAGCAGTGTTTTCATTCCTGTCGAGAAGATTGCTCGACACAAGAAGAATGGGTTGAGCACCCGAGCAGCATGTTACGCGATCAGAGGCCATGGCTCTTCGCGTGCCCCCAGGCCGGACACAGAGCGAAGAAGCAGATGGAAGTGGCAATGGAGAGCTTGGAGGAGGAGGAGGAGGAGGAGGAGGAGGAACCGGGGTGGTTGTTGATGGATCGAGAGGGGTGAGGGATACCATCGTAGGTGTTGGAATCCCATGCGAAGGAGGGAAGCTAGCAGCTTGGTCTGGAAATTGTTGCTTATGAATTGGATTCGATGCCAGTGCTGGCGCATCTTCCACCGACGGTGTGAAAGGGGAAATAACTTGATAGCTGGAATCTGGGGGCGTCACCGTTGGCGTCGCATTCGCCTGCGGCACCGTTGAGGGACTGCTGTCTGGATTAGTAAAAGAATTGCCGCTGGGCGGAGAGACGTGATAACCATCATAATTAGCTGTTGGTGTACCGGGTGGAAGCACAGCTGTCGACTCAGCGCCGTCAAGGGGAGAAGGGTTTGGCATGGACACCTCTGCCTGATCCGTGGTGGGGACCACTGCATAATCCGTGGTGGGGACCCTTTCTGGTGAAGCAAAACCGACTACAGCTTCTAGGGGTATGGATGCCGAACTCTTCGGAGACAAAGTTGATATATGATGAATGGTGGGGACCACTTCCGGCAAAGCCAGGTCAACCAGAGCTGGTTGGGTTACTGGTGGTGATCTGTCCATAGGCAAAGTTGGTGCCTGGTCCATGGTCGAGGACCTTTCCGGTGAACCCAAGCCCGCCATAGCTGGAGGGGGTACCGACGGCGAACTGTCCAAAGGCAAAGTTGATGCATGATCGATGGTTGGGGCCCTTCCCGGTGAGGCAAAGCCAACCGCAGCTGGTGGGATTGACTGCAGTTGACTTGATGGCATATGAGCAATTGGGGAAGAGCTGGATGAGGGGTGGATGGGTTCCGAGAGGGGCAAGATGGCAAAGGGTGACGGCGATTCAGGAAAGAGGGTATCAGGAAAAGAGGGACCAGGGGGTGATGGGTGTGTTTGGGTGGGTTTCAGAAACGTGGGAGAAAATTCCAAATTGGCTGCAATGGGGGGAAAGGTCGATGACCATGGGTGGATGGGTTCTGAGTGCGGTGAGGGGGTAAAGGAGAAAGGGGGTTGAGCGCGAAGGGTCTCGGGAGAAGAGGGAGCAGAGGATGGCGGATCCAATTTCATGATGTTTGGGAATCTGGGAGAAGTCTCTGGAGTGGCTGCATTCTTCTCCTGAGAATTGAAAGATACTGCGTGGTCAGCAATTGGAGTAAGGGAGGGAGTGGGGGGTAAAACTGCTGAAGGAGGCCCTGCCACCGAAAGACTGGCCAGCGGGGCCAACTGGATCGCTGTATTTAGAGGCTCGGATGAAGAGGACGACATACTACTGTGATCTACAGTGTCATCTTTGATGAATGAGAAAGGCGCATCAGATTGTGATGGCGATAACGTCGTTTCCTTAAGGAGCTCAGCAGGAGCTGCATTGGGACTTGGTAGTGGTGGTAAGACCTCATGGTCCTCGTCAGCTTCAGGGTAACCTTGGTCAGTGGTGTTTGGTGTGCTGGGAACTGCGGCAGGCAACGGCTCGGAGTCAGGCGCTGTAGAGATCGGTCCCGCTGGTCCCACTAGATAAGATGTGTTCATGGGGGCCGATGTTGAAGGCTGGCCAGAACGGTCGGGCCATGCTGGAGACGCCCCCTGGGTAATGCTGTTCAAAACATTTGATGGCGGAGCTGGTGGAGTGACTGCTGAAAGGGGCATGGAAGTGAATGACACAGATGAAGGAGTGCCCACTACACCAGATACAAACTCTACAAGTGGAGCGGCGACAATCTCAGTTGGTGTCAGAAGAGTGGTCTTTGAAGGAGAAGGCAATGACACAGAGGTCAGTGGAAGGTCCCAGCCCCTAGTTGTGTCAGGGGAAGGGCTCCCAAGGACGGGAGGGGCACCAAGCGTGGTGGTTTGTTCGGTGGCGGGATGGGATGAAGGGCTACTAGTAGGCTCAAGTGGAGCAACACCTAGTGCCGAGGGAGACGGAGAAGGAATGGGTAGGTTTGGGGGGAGGGATGCAGAAGACGCAGGAGCTAAAGAGGAAGAGGGAGGTTCTCTCTCTGGTGTTGGGCGAGGATGCAGAGGACCTATTTGCCATGCCGATGAGTCGGGGGCCTCTTGCAGAGCAACACCTGGTTCCAAGGGAGAGGGAGAAGGAATGAATATGTTTGGGTGGAAGGAAGCAGAAGAAGCAGGACCTGCAAAGGGAGTGGCAGGTTCTCTCTCTGGAGTTGGAGAGGGATGGAGAAAACCTATTTGCAACGACGATGAGTGGGGAGCCTCTGCCAATGGCCAATACGGTCCTGAAAAAGAACTATGGGGGCTGCTGCTGCCGTGTTGCTTGTCTTGTTCTTGTTCAAAGAGAGGGGGCAGGCTAGTAGTATCAGTTGTTGGATTCGACTTTAAGGAGGGCACGGCTGGGAAATCTGGAGAGGAGGGTGGAGAATCCTGAGGTCCTGGGTTGGGGAAGGAAACGGCAGACTCTCTATCTCCCATATCTGGCAGTTGGGTGGGATGGAAAAGACCCTGGGGAGGCGGTAACACTGACAGAGCCTCTGACTCCTCTGTGCTTGGAAAGGCATGAGCGCTGGCCTGAGATTCCTGGGTGTCTTGATTCTGAGGTGGTAGGGTAGAGACAGGAGCTTCTGGCAACTCGAGGGGTCTGAAACCTGAAGAATTTGGACTACAATGTGGACCAGATGCCCCTGAGGCAGCACTTGGTGTTTGGACACCAGTTACAAGTGGCTGAGCATCGTTCTTGTTATGCAAAGGCGACGCGATAAGAGGGCTCGGTCCCGAGATCGGCTGTTCAGAGTCATGCTGACTGCCATAAGGAGATGCTTCTTGAAAATCAGGAGCTGTCATTGTCGATGGAGGCTGCAAAGAAATACCAGAAGTTGAAGGCACTAGAGGTGGTGAGGAATGCCACAATGACGACCACAACCCACTCTCGGTGGGAGCTATCTGGGACATGAAAGGCGGCATAGGAAGATTGGCAGATGCAGAAGGTGCCAAGCTCGTGCGCACTGGCTCCAGTATGGATGGCGATACATGGTCCATGGTATACAATTCATTAAGAGTGGAATTGTCATCAGAATATACTGACTGATTGCCATTACCTCCGGAGAGGAAAGGCGAACGTGAAGGCGAAGGTGACGGCGACGGCGACGGCGACGGCGACGGCGACGGCAACGGCAACGGCAACGGCCCGGGTAGGGACCCCGAAGGGGGCACAGGTGGGGTACTACGGTTCGGTTTTGAATAAGGTGCCAGCGGACGACTTTGGGTAGACACTTCCTCAAGGGTGTAATCATCGCCAAAAGATACCGGCTCGTTGTTGTGACCACTGGATAGAACGGAAGAAGGCAGAGACCCTGACGCTGACTCCAATGCAGAAGGGCGCAGAGGGTAAGCCGTATGATGATTTGGCTTCGGCAAGGGTGCCGGGGGACGATTTTCATCAAGTGAACTTTCTATCTGAGTGTAGTAATCGTCGAAACGTGTTGATCCATCACCGTAAACATCAGAAATGGGAAGAGAGGGTAAACCAGTCAAATCCTCACCAAACTCACCCTCACCTACAGCGTGCTGGAGCTCTGAGTCGGGACCTGTTGGCATAGCATTCGTCCAATGGGATGGGCCAAGTGGCCGGGTCGCCAATTTGAGAGGACTCTGAGATACAGTGCTCGGATTCGGTTCAGACAATGGAGACAAGGAATGACCTGTGGTAGAAAAGACAGTACTATGGTCTTTTCCAGCTGGAGAGAACGCCAAGGGTGCCCCACTGCTACTGAGAGCAAATGGAGCAAGGACAGTACTGAAAGGCGCCGCTACTCTGGAACTCGGAGAAGGTGCAGCCGGCTGTCCATGATCCACGTCCATCGTCGATTCAGGAGTCCAACCGTCAGAACTGGGTGCAACAGACGTTGACGACACTGGAATTGGGACCGACATAGACGGGGCCTCCGGACTTGCTCCATCTTTACCTGCATCACCATCAAATGGAAGATTGATGTATTGATCAGGCTCTGGTGCCAAGGAATTTGAGCCAGCACCTGAATCCCCCCTTCCAAATGGAGGAGACTGCGATGATGATGGACTGCTCTCACCAGGTGGAGCAATCACGAAGCTCAGGTTTTGTGGCATGTCATTCGTGGGAGCAGGAGCTCCTGCCATCGCACGGTCAAGGTGAAGGGAAAAGGGGGGGGATCCGAGTGGATCAACGTGATAATCACCGACGGCATCGCCATCATCAGTAGAAGTAGTAGCTGGAAGAGGAGACAGAGATGGTGCAATGAACTGTGGAATCCTAGTAGGGCCTAACGCGGCCTCGTCTTCAAGCTGAAAACCACTGGCTCGCTGCGGTGGCTTGGCATCAGTGTTACCTTGCCCATCGTCAAATGAACGGGAAGGTGATGGGCGAGTCTGTGTCGCTGGAGGCGGTGATAGAGCAGATAGTGATGGGGAAGATGATGGATGGAAGAGAGGTGGACGAGATGTCGGTGAAGGAGACAATGACGGGCGAGAAGCTAATGCAGCGGACAGTGGTGAAGGAGATTGTAAAGGGCGAGATGGAGATGAAGAAGGTGGTAATGGATGTGGCAACGGTGGGGGATAACGGGAGGGCCATCCTCCACTGCAGTTGTCTTGCGATGGAAGAGTTGATGTACTCAGAGATGGTGGGGTATCCTCTGAGGTGCTAACTTGTTCTGGGCGACCCTTATCATCAAGACCGATCACTGCGAGAATATGTTTGTCATCATCATCCATGTAATCATCATGGTAAGCGTCATCCTCAGCATCATTTTCTCCGTTTTGCTGCTCCTCGCCAGAAATCAGTGCAGCTGGAGAAGAAGATGCTGAAGCTCTCACGGTTGTCCCTTTAGGAGGAAGTCCAAACTGACCATCACCTTCATGTGTGCCATCGTTAGGAGAGAGTGCGAACTCGCCTTCACCTTCACGTCCAGGCCCGCTGCCTTGATCCGGGGCCATCATCGGTGAGACATTAGCAAAACGCTCCTCTTTCACCGGTTCAGCAAATGGCAATGGCGATCCAGTGCTATGAATGCCGCCAGGTGAAGGAGTGGCCAGTTCCGTCGAAGGGGCAGAAGCTGGTCCTGGAACGGATTGCGAGCTTGAGGACCCGCTGGGAGGTGTGGAGCCCATTGTAGCCAAAGGGGCATAGGCTGGTCCTGGAACGGATTGCGGGCTTGAGGCTGGTCCTGGAACGGATTGCGGGCT